CTCTGCACTGGCCAGATGTTGCTTCCGTCTCCCCAGCAACTGTGCTTGCCGCTCCCCTTAGTGAACTCTCAGCACGGGGCCAGAACGCGGCTCCCAGAAGGCCACGTCCGAGCCCCCCCAGCGCAGCCACTTTTGGCCTGACCCAGGCCTGAGGTCTCTGTCTGACAGAGAGCGTCCTTGCCCTGCGCACAATTCTTTGCAGGGCATCAACCGTCAAATACCAGCTCTGGAGAGAGCGCTAACTGCGGAGGCGGTTCTGAGCCAGGCCAGGTATGTGGGGGACAGGCTGCGGGGCTGAGCTTTGCCCTGCGTCACTTGACGGAGTCGTGCTCTCACAGCCACTGACGCTGCCCCCAGCCCCTTTCCCTCACACAGCCATTAACCCTTCTCCCTCCTACCCTACATACACCCCCGTTCACTTCCGTCCCCCTCCCCTCCCGCTCTGCTCTCGCCACAATGGGTGCACCCACCTCTGACCCCCCACACGGGCGCATCCATTCACTCCCTCCCTCTCATCACTCTCTCCCCTGCAAACCTGCCCTCTTCCACTCACAGCCAGCTTTGTGCCCACGCCCTCACAGGCCCGACCTGGTATCGCCCAAGACAATCCAGCTTGAGTCGAACCATTATTTCCCCCACAGAGCCTCGTCATTTGTTCTGTTGCAGTGATGCTCAGACCTCGGGGGTTCAGGAGCCAAATGAGCTATCAGCATTCCCCAAAGGGGGCCCCATAGTATGAACTCACTGTCTTGTTTACTAGAGATTCACATTTAAACCGTTTGGCAGGGGAGATATTTAATTGTTTCTGTATCATTCTCATAGCAAAATGACTGAGCAAGTATTAATATTTTATCAACTACAGCGGGTTAATAACCTAGTCGGAGCACCCGGTTTGGTTAATAACACTGAGTGATTTAATTATTAAGCAGGGTTTTAATAGCATGTGCTGCAAAGAGCCTCGGGAGAGGCATTAGAAAGCCACTTGCAGCTCCCAAACCTCAGTCTGAGTATCACTGTGCTTTTGTGCCCTCTTCCCTCCCTCTAGGGTCTGTGAGGAAGAGCTGTGTCCTCATCCAGTCTCCCTAGAAGGAGGTCAGTCTCCGGGATCTCTTTGGGAAACAGGCTGAGGAGAGCAACGGTGCCAAACCTCCTGCTGTTTCTTGCACCCCGTGCACCGGTCCCTGTTCTGCTGGTTCCTGCCCCAACGGTGACGTGAAGTTGTGGTTTGGATTGTTGCTGTCTAACCCGGTGTTCGAGCTTGTGCTGTTGTGAGGTGCCCTCAGGCTGCTACTAGGGCACGATCACGAAATGAAATGAACACAGTTAATATTGTCCTGATGCAGGCAGCAAACTGACTGTGCCACAGGCAACCCCCGCTGGCTGACTGACTCAGCCCCAGATGGCAACACCCCTGTAAGGAGAAGCTGGGTGGATAAAGGTGTATCACCAGCTGTGCCCGACAGCTCGGGCAGACAGCTCCGATAGAGAGCACGCGGAAGAGAGGGCAAAGCTTTGGGGCCTCACAGCAGGAGAGCCCTGCAGGTTGTAACCACTGTAATGGGGCATGTGGGGAGAATATGCAGGTGGACGAAGAGCTGTGCACAGTACGGATGCTGTTGGGGGATTCCAGGGAACGCCTCCCCCAATGTCCACATCATGACAGCTGTGGAGACAGTGAACAAGGAAAAGTTATTTTCTTGTTCCCATTAAGGCTAAGAGGCAGGTAATCCACTAATCATGTAGTAGATAACACTTTTATCGACTACATGATTCGTCGATAAAGGAAGGTTTCCTCAGTCCCGGCTACTCGATTAGTCGGTAAGGGGGGGAACTGCAGAGACACAGCAGGGTTAGCTCCTGGCCTGGGAGCTAACCCCACTGTGCATCTGACTTTTAAATGTATTAAGAGTTGCCAGGCTCTTAATATATTTGAAAAGCGGAGATGCAGCAGGGGAGACCAGGAGCAAGCCAGGACAGCTGATTCCCAGCTTGCACCTGGTCCCTCTCACTGTGCCTCTGCTTTTTAAATAGCTCTTAATACCTTTAAAAAGCAGAGGCGCAGTGTCTGGGACCAGGCGTGAGCTGGGAATCCCCTGTTACACCTTTGCTTCTTTTGCCCCCTCGAGACAGTGGTGGGGGGAACCGGCTTTTAAGCCAGCTCCCCGCCCCCTTGCTGCCTCTCTCTGATAAGAGGCAACAAGGAGGTGATGGTGGAAGCGACTAGTCGAGTCACTATTTGACTACCTGATAAGCAAAGGAAGTTTTTCTTCATCCAGTGCACATTCAACCTGTGGAACTCCTTGCCAGAGGATGTTGTGACGACCAGGACTTTAACGGGGTGCAAAAAAGAACTAAGTAAATTAATGGAGAGTGGGTTCATCAATACTTCTGTAACCCCCAAGGCAAACTCAGAGTGCCTCTCCCTGAGCTGCCAGCAGACAAAGCCCCGGGAATCCAAGCAATCTCTGGCAGCTCAGGGAGAGGCACTCTGAGTTTGCCTTGGGGGTTACAGAAGTATTGATGAACCCACTCTCCACTTCTTAGCCAGAATGGGTAAGGATGGTGTCCCTAGCCTCTCTTTGTCAGGGGATGGAAATGGATGACAGGAGAGTGATCACTTGATGATTACCTGTTTCTGCTCACTCCCTCTGGGGCACCTGGTGCTGGCCACTGTCGGAAGACAGGATACTGGGCTAGATGGACCTTTGGTCTGACCTAGTCTGGCTGTTCTTATGAGACACTGAATGATCCTGGGGGTGGGTGGGTGAGCAGCTGCAGGTGGTGATGAGGATACAATGAGGCTACTCCGCAATCTCTGACGGAGCTGCTCCCCTGTGACAGGAGAATAAGGAATGGCTCTGCCCCAGCCTGCCCGGCTCTGCTGCCTTCCTCTCTCTCCATGCACGAGGCCTGAGCCCATTGCTCGCTAGCCCCCCACGCTGCACCCGGCATTGCGCTTTTATTATTGGGATCAAAGGCTTCATCAGTAAAATAAAAACCCTGCTGAAAGAGGAGGCAGCACTTCTCTGCACCTAGGACCAGCACTTGGTAGGGTCAGAGCTGGAAGCAGGTGGCTTTATATGGTGTGTGTGTGGGGTGGGGGGCAGATTACAAGGTGTAGCTGATCCAATGAAAAGTGTGACCCAAAGGGGAGTGCTGGGAGTGGTG